TTTCAAAACACATCATTTTCTCTCCAAGGCTACCTCTCTGAGCATGTAGAGGAGACAAGCAGGTAAGTAACCAAATCCACAGCCTTCCAAAAAGCGCCCTAACCACCAAAGCTCAAACTGTATTGGTGCATCCTCAAGGTTTCTTTCTATACCGCACCAATTTCTTTCGGTACAATACACATTCAGGAAGACAAACGACCAAGTAACAAAGAATCTTCTTCCCAAACTTCCATTGGCATTATAGAAATCTCTTCCTCATTATAGTAGCCATCTAGCAGTGTCTGTTTTTTGTTGGCTTTTTTTTTTCCCCATACGATTATTTTTTTTTTAAGAAAATATGTAAATAGGCAAACTATGGAAAAAAATCTGCATTAAGAGACATAGAGCCCAAATCCTCACAGTTACCATTCCCAATCATCCTTTCCCTTTTCACAGACATATCAGAAGATGCTGCTGCCCGCTGCATTTCACCCAACAGTTTCCAGCCCTCTCAACCTCAGCTTGCTACTCATGCTGCCTACAGGTACTCTCTGGGGATCCTCTTCCAACATCTGCACTCAGCCACAGCCACATCCAGCAACCTTTCCCCACTAGAGCTCAGAAGCAATACTCCCTTCTTCCTTCTGTTGAAGGTCTGGTTTCTTGGTAAATAATTAGTGCCTGCAGACTGATTATCTCTAATGCAAAGAAATACATTTGCTTTATTGAGTAATACTGCTCTATTCCTATGAATAACAAATAAATTTCATCTCAATAAATTTCACAATAAATTTCATCTCAAGAATCCTCTTTGATAAAACGGAAGCTATTAAAAACTGTATTGGCTTTGAAAAGGTGTTCTACATCACCTCAAGCCTTTAAAAGAGAGGAGGAAGGAGAGAGAAAAGAAAAGGATATTTGATTTGTCATTCAGCATTTGTTACCTATTTAAAAGTCATCATCCACATGTATTCTTTCAAACTAGAGACAGCCACAGGGGTAAAAGCAGTAACTCCATATTCTCCTAAATCCAAAAACTACTGATTTTTCAGTTACCATCTTCAAATTCTCTCTTTTTGTAAGCTGTTCACTCACTTCTAAATAGCAGCCAAGAATAAATTAGAGCTTCTTGTTGCTTTCTTTTCATGCTGAAAGATGGTGACACAGGCTAAGCAATTATTTGAATTTTAGAAATATAAATTTCTGATTTAAAATACTGTTAAACATAAAAATTAAATAAGCAGTCTATAAGTTTTGCTCCACCCCTCTGATTTCAGACAAAGATCTGAAGCCTCTATTTCTTCTGAAGGCAAGCGGCCTTGAGTGACCCCCCCTCCATTTGTGATTCCCTTTGCAGGCCGTTTGCGTTACTGAAACATATCTCAGTGCTATTTGTAGTCTTACTTTGCTGTAGTCAATCCTCACAACACAGTACATATATTCAAACTGCCTGAGATATGCACCCCCCTGCTCTCCCCTACCCCCTTAAAAAAAAGTGAGATTACAGCACAAGCCTTATCTCACTACGTGGTCCTCAAGATGAGAGAACAATTGAAGAAACTCTAGAATGCAGCCAGCTTACACACATCTCAGACAGGGAGCAACAGAAAACAAAAACCAAACAATACTTTCCTAGGGCAAAACAACAGAACTGCAGGCCAGAATGCCTCTCAAATGGCAGAAATCTCCTTACCTTAGGGTCCTCTTATCTGCAGCATCAGCACAGATACCTCAGGAACACTCCGTGTCCCTGGGCCCATGTGCACAGCAGATGCACCTGCCAATCTACCGGGCACTGCAGGCAAAGTGACAGGTCTCTCCTTCCTTGGTCTCTGCCAGACAAGTCATACTCTTATCTATGATAGGAGACAACAGAACATGGTTCTTTCTTGTAAGTTCCTGAACTTACTGGCTTCTCAACGTGATCTGTGTAGACAAGCCCCACTCATCCACAGCACAGCTACGTGGAAGTCAGCACAGTGAGAGTTCTGTCTCTAATAGTCAGTGCCCTGCATGTCAGTAACTATGGTCACAAGTCATATCAGAGCTGGAGACAGACTGCTCTCTGGCAAGATGAACTAACTCCCCATGGACATAGGAACACCACAAATTCTCCCTCTCTGCCACTGGAACTGTTTTGTCAGTCCTCTCTGAAATAAATCCCTACAAGATCACTAACCTCCTTTTTAGCTTAGAAATAAAAGAGCCCAATCAGAACTTCACTCCTATTCAAAGGGTAGTAAGTTCAGAAATTACAGAGAAAAAAATAGGGCTTTTATTATCAAGTTGTATCACTGACATTAATCTGATATTACAGCAGTAGGCAGCAGTAGAACATCATGAAGTGGACAACGAGCAAAAAAGCTCAGAAAATCCAGAAACAGACAGAGCAACTTAGAAGATTTGCTCCAGTTCTGTTCAGAGCTGGTAGCTCAAAGGCCAGAAAGTACCATTAGTATCAGTGCTGCCATTACCAGCCTTGGAGCTGCAAAGGAAAACAGCATTAACAAGACCTCCTTGTCCCTCACAGGCTTTATTTACCAAATGCACAGCTGAGACACAAGTCCATCAGCACGCGCAAAGTATTTTCACTTCTTCCCAAAAATTCACCAACTCATGTGCCCAGCCAGGGCAGAAGGGGCTTGCAAGTCTTGAAGCTATTGTAAATCTTTCCTTTATACAAGTAAGCTGAGAAGCCAGTCAGGAACTACAAGTTGACCAAATTCCTCTATCCACCAAAATCTCCCATTTGAAATCTCATAACACATAGTACCAGCTATGACAGCTATGAAATTCCCTTCAAAGATGCACAGAATTATAGAAACCAGTACTATTATTGTTGCTACCGAAGAAGAACATTTCGATTACCTCGTCCTTTACAGACACCATGAAATACTCACTATAGCACCATCTTCTCACAAACAAAAGCAAAGCAAACAGGAATTCCTCCTACTGTTAGAAGTCTCCCTACAAGTCTCAGAAATGCCTCCAACAAGAAAGAAAAAGAAAAAAAAAGTATATCTGTTTCATGACAGTCAACAGCTATCACATCTTTTTGCAGGGCAAGATCCCAAATTAAAATTCACAATCTCAACTTCAGTTCTCTCGTCTTGTAAGACCCGGACCTCTCTGAGCTTCAGATTGATGCTCATGTCAGTATTCATCACCGACATTGAGGCATATACATTTGCTCCCTATCATGCTGGAAGCAAAAATAATCTTTTCCTTTTAAAAGGGCCGTGCAATTTTATCCATTACCAAAGCAGCTTAGGAACACACTAAGGATGTGCGATGCACAAGCCCAAATCACACATCCTCCCTATAATAATGAGAGTGCCCCTCACCTCATGCTTAGCAGGAGAAAACATAGCTTCTCTTGAAGGGTTTCCTCTCTGCAAGGAGGAATTTGAGACTCACTGGAAAAAAAAATGCTGCTATTCCGTGTGTAGCTCAAGAGACTTTTCAGAGGCAGAAAAGAGCAAGACACCATGATTTCCTCTCTGGCTTTACTCTAAGACGAGCTTTGGGAAGCTACTGATCAGCATCATGAGCCTCTCTGCAGCTGATCTGCAGATAACCTCCTTATAACAGTCTCAAATCTGAGTCTGTCTCTCAAAAGCAAACTACAGGAGTGCTGAACCCTTGACTTACAGTCAGTCTGGTGAAATTTAGGTATTTGGCTGGTTTGGTTTACTTTTCTTCATTTTATTATGAAGTTTCCAAGCCACTGATGGCTTAATTACATCAGCGTCTATGAGGATCCACTGTCAAGGAAGTAGGTCCAGACATACGATCCAAATAGACATCTTTAAGGCTCAAAGCCCAAAAGACAGAGAATAAGAACTGAAAAATAGGTTTTTCTTGTCCAGTTCTGTAGTGTTTAGGACACTGCTGACACCACTGGGGACAGGCTTGCTAACCTCACCTACTGTTTACTGGCTGCGATTTTATGCCAGGCACTAACCGACATGCTGCAACAAAATCATTTTTACACACTACCTACACACAAAATGGAGGGGGAAAAAACAACAAAATCAACCGAGAACCACAATTACCCCCTCTGGATAAGAGAAATAAGTGAGGTCAAACCACTCTGCAATTGGCAGCAATAACCAGTACATCTCTCACTGAGCAAACCCAGAGCTCAGCAGTGTTCCAAGACAATGCTCATCATATTTTTGGGAAGAAAGCAGTTAGGTGATATGAAATACTATCAAGAGGAAATAAGTAGCGGAATGTATTACTGCATACATATTGATTTTAGCACTACTCAAAATCAGACAAAACCAAAACACTGACAACAAGTCACAGCCATCAGCAAAGACCTATTGACATTACCCAGGAGAACCGAGGGCATTGGTAACTATTCCCAATGCCCTCAACAGCTGCAGCCTTTCCCAAGCAGTGCTAACCTGACTCATCAAATGGGACACCACAACTTTGTTCGGCAGGAAACGCACACGTGTTCCTAACAGCACACTGTAATCACCTTGTAGGAACGTGAAGTACCAAGTGCACCCATCTGCACACCTTCATGAAGTTACACAGAACACAGCAGTAGTTTACTACCACATACTGCAAGTGCACAATTCCGTACTGGAAGAGAACAGGCAGGTAAGACAGCACGTAGCTACACTTGCTTACAGCGTGAAGTGCTTCCGAAGGATTCGTGTGAGATCCGCAGCACACAAGTGCTGAATCACCGTAGTACAAAGCAGATCCTCAGTAAAACTTTGGTAAAGCGCTCCACATGCATTCCTATGATAATAAGAACCGGTCCCATTACAGTTGGGAATAAAGCTATAACCGACGCATTTCCCCCATATAATTTCTGATAGCAAAGTGATACACAAAACACTCCGGTTCCACTTGCGACAAGCACCTCGTCTTTCAGAGCGATCACAGGCACGCACGGGAAACCCGCCAGCCATCTCTAGCCGCGGACCCGCGGACGGCAGCGCCTCGCGAACAGTCAGCGCGCGGCCAACCACGGCCCCGGCCGCGGCGCTGCCCGCACTCACCCAGCAGGGAGCCCACGAAGATGACGAGCTGCGCGGCGGTGGCGAAGTGTCGGTATCCGGGCTCCCCGCCGCGCTCCGCGCCGCCCCAGGGCCCGGCCGCGCTGCCGTTGCCGCCGCCCCACGCCATCTGCGCCGCGGTCCCGTTCCTCGCCCCCAGGGCGACGGCGCGGAACGGGGCGGGCTCGCTGCCGTTCAGCGGAGCCCGACTCGCGCCGTGCCCCATAGCGAGGCGTCCGCCCCTCGCACCCTCCGAGCAGTTCAGCGAGCGAGCGGAGCGCGGGGGCGAAAACGCGGCGCTGCGGAGGGAGCCCCGGCTCTACCCCTCGGAGCCACCGTCACCGCGTTTCTGCGTCCCGGGAAGCAGGCCCGGCTTTTCGCGCTCCTGCCCTGCGAGTCGCTACGGCCAGAAAAGAGAAGGGGGCCCCGCCGCGCCGTCCACCGTCCCATGCTTCTCGCCTCGCGGTGTCCGGCGCCTCTCAGCGGGGAGCGCGGACGGGGAGAGTCCCAACGGCGGCTCACCACGCGCGGCGGCCGTCCGCGAAAGTTACGGGAGCCCGCGCCCCGCTCCGGAGCGCTCCGCTCAGCCCCCGCGGCGGCGCCGTTCCGCAGCCCCGAGCGACGCGGCGCAGCTCTCCGCCCGCGGCCGGCCCGCCGCCCGCCTTCATTCTGCCCGCGCTTTCGACGGCGGGCGCGGCCCCGCGCGGCACGCGGCAGCCCGCGCCCGAAGCGCCGCGGCGCCGCTCCCGCCGTTCACAGGGAAAGTGATTTGTTTGTGAGCTCCGAGGCGAGGAGCGCGCGAGTCTCTAAAGAACAAACGCAGCTCCGCACCAAACGCAGCCCGCATCAACACCTCGCCAGCGGCAGGCGGCAGCCGGCGGCCGAGATCCCGCCTCCGCCGTGACGTGGCGCTGCGGAGCGGCCGGAGCTGCCATGTTGGGGGCAGAGCGGCGGACGGGGGGGCAGCTGGCGCCTCGCGTGACGCGTTGGGCGCTGTGCGCCGCGTTCGACACGGGGCTCCCGCAGAAAAATAAAACAGGAGAGTGCTGCCGCTGATGGGCCCTGCGGGCATTGCCAGCCGGGAACTAGGAGTAGCGGAATAGACCTGAATCAGGTTTTGCTTGGTACTGATGTCGCGATACAGCTGCAGACGCAGCAGTTACGAGTTGCGGCCCCAACCGGTACTCTGAGACCGGGGTTTGAATTAAAAAAAAAAAACAAAAAAAAAAAACAAGGGATGCACGTAAGCGAGTTTTTCAGGACAGGTGGAAATCCACAAAGGCTACTCTGCAGGGCACGTCCCTCCTGAGGCGGCCCGCTGACAGCAGACGCCCGTAAAAGCGAGAAGCGAGCAGGTACTGCTGGACTCCTGCTTGCTGCGTGCCGGTGCTTAGGGATACGGTGGGGAGCGCAGCCGTGAGGAGGGGGTTCCCGGCGCTGCGTGAGGCGTAAAGGCTACGAGCCAGGCTCGCACCCCACATCCAACCCCGCCGCCGCCGGCCCGCCTCACGCGCCCGCCCCACCGCCGGGGCCGCCGTTCCGGCCCCTCCTCCCGGGGGGTGCGGCCCGCACAGGGACGGCGCCGCCGGGAGCGTGGCAGCGTCGCGGGGCCGCCCGCCCGTGTTGGCCGCTTCCCGCCCGGGGGAGCTGACATGGCCCGGGCGAGCGACGCGCGGCAGCCGCCCGCGGAGGTGGCCGCGGAGCCACCGGAGAGCTACCAGCTGCGGCAGGAGAACGAGCTGCAGGCGCTGGAGTCCATCTACGGGCAGGACTTCCAGGATCTGCGGCGGAGCCGGGCCTGGAAGGTAGCCAGCGGCGCGCCGCGGCCGGGTGCTGAGGGCCGCCGTCCTGCGCTTCTCCTCCGGGCGCTGGGCGCTCCTCGGCGCGCTTTGTCCGCGCGGGGTGCCGGGCGCCGGTGCCGCCGGGCGGGGCGAGGCCGTACGGAGCGGGGCCTGCTGTCCGCCCGCCGCCGCGCTTGTCCTCTGGGTTGACGCAGGCGTAATTAATGCTCTGCGTGTAACGTGCGTTTTAATTAATTGCCAGCTTAAGAAAAGCTGCCTTTGAATTCTTTTGTTGGCTAATTACAGGCTGCCTAACTCATCCCGTCGGCGCACATGTTGCTGACCTCTGTACGTGCGTTCTGTGCGGTGTTCACTGGAACGGGGCTGTTTCCGTCACAACCTCTACTTTCACTCTGTAGTATTGGCTTTTTTTCCAATTATTGCTAATTGCCCAAGTCTGCTGTGCAGTGCTTTCTTTCCATCTCCCTTCCATGCACACAATGTCTTCTTGCAATTTTTTTTTTCAGCTGCATCTGGTGGCACAGTTTTCCATAGCTGCAAGTACCACTCACTTATGTCACCTCCCCATAACTTCACTGCTGCTGTCATCTGTTAGCTGCCTTTGGCTTTGGTTCTTGCAGAACATCATGGCTGATACTGTTTTTCCTGCTGGCCACGTGAAGCTAGAATTCTTGCAGAAACTTCTGACTTATTGGGGTGGTGGTGGCATTTGATGCTAGCAGTGCCCGTAACTTGCTGCATTTTCACAAACGTGCCTGCTCTCTCTCCTTACAAAATTTGTGTGTAACCTGTGCTTCTCCCGCTTGGAAATGCAAAGAAGAGGGGATACTGACAGTCTACTAACCTGTTCTCATATTTTTTGATGTTATTTCCTTCCCTGTTCATCACACTGCTAAGATCTCTTACCTTAAAAAAATACATTCTAATTGAGATGAAGAAGGTTGGAATGTTTACATAGACATGTTTTGTTCTTCTTTTTAAGGCAAACAGGCAGTTTCAAGGAAGTGGTGGGAAGACTTGTTAAAATTTTGTTTAATGACAAAAATAAAAAATATAAATACAAAAATTTACTGTTCATTTGGCTGCACAAGATGCAGTTTCACGGTCTGTTGTCATGTTGGAAAAGAAAATGCTGACTGGTATTTGTTAATGATCTAAAACAAAAAAGAAGCCAGTTCAGTTGTACGCTGAATGTGTTAACTTGTCATATTTCATAAGTAAGCTGTCCAGGTGTCCTAACGTTTTCTTGCAGAGGAGGATTCTCATATGAAACTTCCTTTCTGCTTAGTCTGACTCATCTTGTTGATAAGTGCTCTTATCCAAAGAAGTTCCCAAGTGTGTTGGATAAGCTGTTGTAACGAACCAGCTCTCTCATTGATCAGTGTCAACATTACTGTATTATTCTCACGGTTTGGGTGGTCTGACCTGAGTTCTGCTATAAAAATGGGTGGGAGACTTGTGTGCAGTAATTCCTGCTTTCATTATAGCAATAGAAACGAAAATGACGATGAAAAAACCCTTTTAAATCTAAAGCTTTGTTTTCTGCTATAGGTACGACAGCCTCCAGAAATCAATTTAGTTCTGCATCCTCAGGGATTGACTGGTGATGATGAGGTGTACGCCAAAGTTGATCTCTGGGTCAAGTGCCCGCATACTTACCCTGATACGTGAGTGAACATTCAGATAGAACCTTTTTTTTTTCTCTGAGCATTTATTTGTTTTCACATAGGTGGAAAAAACATGTAGTTACATTCATTGTTCTTATTCTTGCTTTCTTCATGTCAGTATTTGTTCAGGCTCCGCTATTTTTGAATAGGTAACTAATTCTTTCACCTGAATTGGATGTGGTTTCTTGTGCAATAAGGACAGGTGTGCCTGTCAGCATCTTAGTGCCCTTTGGAAACTTCTCCAGCCCATGATCTGTTCTGCTCGGAGAAGGACTTACCTTTTATTTTTTAAACACTCTTTTGTCCCATTTGTATTTGATATTCGTGTTCTGAGCTTTTGGAAGAGCTCTCCACAGAGAATGTAAAAAGAATTGCTAGAAATCAGCACTTCCTGTGTTTTGGATTAGCAAATGTCTTTTGAGTGAAGTACTGCCCTGCAAGCACTGAGGAAAATGTTCTCCTCAGTCCCTATGTCACTGGCTGTGTCCACAGCATTGCAGCCTTTGGCCTATCTGTTTGCTGTGGGCCCTGAGCAGCATACAGGGGAAGCGCTATTTACAGCCAGGCAGTGGATCAGATGCGCTGGGGAGCACAGGGCACAGCAGCCCCTCTTGTTTTATTTTTGTTTCTTTTTAGTTTAAGTTAGCATAGTATGGATGTCTTACTTATTCCTGTTGTTGCACCTTTCCTTTTAGTTTTTGTCACCTGTATAGTGGGGATAAATGACTTTCAGCCACCTCAGTGTTATGCTAGTAGCATCTGTAAAGCACTTTTATATGAATTACTAACAAAGATTGGAATTGTGAGAAACCGCAGGGGTTTCCTTGCAAGTTCTTCTGTTACATATAACTGACAAGTAATATGCAGCCAGAAGTTGATGAGTGTAAAATAATATCTCTGGCTTTATTCTGTGTTATATATTTAATATTTACCTACTGCTTGTTGACCACTAACTAGTTGCCAAGTGATAATAAACTCCATACCTTTTCCATCATTGATATTTTTTTTTTTACCAGCCCTCTGTATCTCATATAGCTTTTTACACTCTCTCCACCTCTCTTCCTGTTCATTCCCCTTCCCTCCTCCTTTTACTTCCTTTTTTTTTCTTTATGAGGACCTTCTTTATGTTCTGTTGCTGTCTCCCAGTGTTCCTGAAATACAACTGAAAAATCCCAAAGGCTTGTCTAATGAGAAAATAAATGAGTTAAAATCCAGACTAGCTGAACTGGCAAAAGAGTGCTGTGGAGAGGTAAGAACTTTTCACATCCTTGAGAAATGCACCCTTGTCCTAAGTAGTACTAGCAAAATGTATCTGTAATATGAGGACATGCTTCCAGATTAGAAGTATGACTTACATCGTTGTGAAGAATGTTTCTATTAAATGAAAGTTCTGAGCATGAACTCTTCAGTCTCCTGTTGCAGTGGGTGGCAACCCTGCCCATGGCAGGGGGATGGAAAAGGATGTTCCCTTCCAACCCCAGCCATTCTATGATAGTGCATATTTAAATAAGGTGGATAATGTAAGACCTTAGGTATTGGAGATGCAGTGGTCTGCTAGCGCTGTGCACTCCATGCTGTAACAGAGGAATGTTCCTACATCAATGAAAGTCCAAGTCCTGACAGATCAATCAGTCGTCAGTACATACCTAGCAAATCATGCGGCCCTTTCAGTGCAGCTCTTATTTTAGTTGTTGTAGCTTTATGAATGTGGAATGCCTTCAGTGGCTTTAGAGTTCTAACTCTGGGGCTAGATTGTA